ACGGCTGGAACCTGATGCGCGACACGTGGGACCGGCGGCGCTGGGAGTTCGACGTGGTGATAACGCGCCTCCACGCGCAGTTCGGCGTCTCGCCCTTCTTCAAGGTCACGGTGGTGCCCGACCCGCGCAGGGAGGGACACAACATCATCAAGGTGGGTGGACAGGGAGGGAGGGGAGAGGGAGAGGGAAGAGGGAGAGGGGGAGGAGAGGTAAGGAGGAGGAGGGGGGTGAGAGAAGATGGTTGCCCCCGACCCGCGCAGGGAGGGACACAACATCATCAAGGTGAGTGGACAGGGAGGGAGGGGAGAGGGAGAGGGAAGAGGGAGAGGGGGAGGAGAGGTAAGGAGGAGGAGGGGGGCGAGAGAAGATGGTTGCCCCCGACCCGCGCAGGGAGGGACACAACATCATCAAAGTGAGTGGACAGGGAGGGAGGGGAGAGGGAGAGGGGAAGGAGAGGGAAGGAGGAGGAGGGGGGTGAGAGAAGATGGTTGCCCCCGACCCGCGCAGGGAGGGATACAACATCATCAAGGTGAGTAGGAGGGGAGGGAGGGAGCGGGGGAGGGAAGAGGGAGAAGGGGAGGAGAGAGAGGAGAGGGAAGGCGGAGGAGGGGGCGAGAGAAGATGGTTGCCCCCATCAAGGTGAGTGGAGAGGGAGGGAGGGAGCGGAGGAGGGAAGAGGGAGAGGGGAAGGAGAGGGAAGGAGGAGGAGAGGGGCGAGAGAAGATGGTTGCCCCCGACCCGAGCAGGGTCAACATCATCGAGGTGAGTGGAGAGGGAGGGAGGGGAGAGGGAGAGGGGAAGGAGAGGGAAGGAGGAGGAGGAAGGGGACAAGAAGAGATAGTTGCCCCCGACCCGCGCAGGGAGGGACACAACATCATCGAGGTGAGTGGAGAGGGAGGGAGGGGAGAGGGAGAGGGGAAGGAGAGGGAAGGAGGAGGAGGAAGGGGACAAGAAGAGATAGTTGCCCCCGACCCGCGCAGGGAGGGACACAACATCATCGAGGTGAGCAAAGAGGGAAGGGAGGGAGCGGAGGAGGGAAGAGGGGGAGGGGGAGGAGAGAGGACACATCATCGTTAAGGTGTGTAGAGAGAGGAGGGAGGGAGCGGAGGAGGGAAGAGGGAAAGGGGAAGGAGAGAGTGGAAGAAGGAGGAGGAGGGGGACGATTAGAGATGGTTGTCCCCGACCCGATCAGGCAGGGACACAACATCGAGGTGAGTGTAAATAGAGAATGAAAGAGTAATGGAAGAGGGGAGATGATGGAGAAGATGGGAGAAAGGAGGAGAGAGGAACTGGGAGAGGAAAAAAAGAGCATAGAGGAAAGGAATGGGGGGAGACCATGGGAAGACGAAGGAGGCGAGAGGAAGTAGGGGAGAGGGAGGGAATGAGAGAAAGAAGGAGGAGGAAGGGGATGGGAGAGGAAAAGAAAGGGATTAAGAAGGAGGGAAACAGGAAGAGATGGCGAGTCTCACCCATGCAAGGAAAAGTACAACATCAAAGGGAGAGAAGACGAAAGTAGGATGAAGAAGGAATAGAGCATAGAGGAAAAGGGGGAAAGGAAAGGAGAGAAAGTGTAAGAGAAAGAAGTATCGAATGAAGCATAGAAAAATAAAGCGAGAAAAAGAAAAAGAAACCGATAAGTGTCCTACAGTGAACCAACTCTTAGTCTTTTTACTTCAAAATTCCCTCTCGTATGACTCAGACAACAAGCACAAGTTGCCATACAGTCCTATTGAACGATTGCCCACAAAAATCTGCATTGAATACCTGTTGTCATATACGAATATTTTCTGATTATCCGTCACTAACCGATGACAAAAAAAAAAAAACAGTGAACGAAATATAGTATGGACTTGTTTTCCTTTTTTCTTTCAAAGGATTAATATTGCAAGTCAGTTTGTCATTCACCACAGCTTCCTATTATGCACAAGCCACGTTTACATTTGCCTTTGTGATGACTAATCAAACTAATCCAAGGACATCATTCAAATAAGAACCGTTTTCTGAAAAGTTGTTACTGATTTCCGAAAGATGTCGAAATTTTCCTTTAAAAAAAAAAATAATAAAAAAATTAACGAATAGATGGCTATGCTAATCTAGTATTCTATTGAGTGTCAGGTATTTTTAAAGATCAATATTATTTCGCTTTTTTTTATTTTTTGGCCTTCTTTTGGGGTCTGTTTTTATCCCACTAAACAGAATGCAATAATATATCTAGAAAAATATTACTGATTTAAAGATATGTCGGATAAGTTATCACTCTCTCTCTCTCACTATCTATCTATCTATTTCTTCTCTGTTTAAGAATATGTCGGATAGGTTCTCTCTCCCTGCCTCTCTCTCTCCCTCTATCTATCTATCTATTTCTTCTCTTTTTAAGAATATGTCGGATAGGTTCTCTCCCCCCCTCCCCCCCCCTCTTTCTCTCTCTCTCTCTCTCTCTCTGTCTCTCTCTCTCTCTCTATCTATCTATCTATCTATCTATCTGTCTATCTATCTATCTCTCCTCTTTTTAAGAATATGTCAAATAGTCTCTATCTCTCTTTATCTGTCTATCTATCTAACTATCTATCTATCTATCTTCACTTTTCTTTTTTTAAGAATATATCGAGCGTTTTTTCCTTCATCTGTTCTTTTCATCTCCCCTTTCTCTCTCGTTTCTCTTCCCTTCCATCTCCCTCTTCGGCTTTCTTTTCTTCCCTCTCCTAACTTTCTTATCATTGATTTCTTCCTTTTCATTCCATCCTTTTATCATTCTTCTTTCCATCTCCTCATCCTTACCATTATTTCTCTCTATTTTTTTTCGCTTCTTATCATTTTTTTCCTTCTTCCGTCTCTTCATCCTTCTCCTTATTCTCTTCTCCCTTGTTCTATCTTCTTTCTCTTTCTATTCTCTTACCACTTCCTTTTCCTTCTCCTTCCGTCTCTTTATACTTCTCCATGTTTTCCTTTCCTTCCTCCTTTCATCTCTTTATTTATCTTTCCATTCTTCTTTCATTCTCTTTATCCTTCTTCTTCCATCTCCTCGTATTTCTCCACGTTTGTTTCTCTTTTCTTCTTTCATCTCATTCCCTTCCATTTCAACATCCTTTATCCGTATCCTCATACTTCCTCTTCTTCTCTCCTTTCTTCCATCTCCTCATACGTCTCTCCCATTTTTTTCTCTTTATATCTCTCTTCTCCTCATTCCTCTCTCAATTCTCCTTCCACCTCCTCATTCTTTTTTCCGTTTCCTCATACTTCTTCTCTCCTTCCTTCCATCTCTTTAAATTTCTCCCCCATTTTCTCCTCCTTCTTTCTTCCATCTCTCCATTCCTCTCTCTTTTCTCCTTCTCTCCGTCTTTCTATTCAGTTCAGAGGCAGCATATTCACCCCCGGCAAACTCTTGCAAAGTCGGCTATAAACTAGCCATCAGTGTAACTTCACCTCTCGGCATCTTGCACTTTTTGAAATATTCAGAAATCGGGAACTCTGTCAAAATGTATTTTTTTCTCTCTCTTCCCTTTTTTAACTCTTTTTCTTTCACTATTTTGTCTTCTCTTCTTTTCTTATATTTTCTTAACTGATTTTTCTTTAGATCTGTTTTTTTTTTCTTCTTCGTCTGCGACTTGGGTAATATGTATTTTTGTTATTAGATTTTTTGTCTATTTTAATTCATCACTTTTCTCTCTTTCTCCTTTGCCATTATCTTTGCCATTATTCTTATTTTTAGAATTATAATAGTGTGATTATTATCATTATCATGCATCGTGATGATAATGATAATGGTAGTAATGATAATGATAATAATGATGATAATGATAATAATATCTAAAATGATGGTGGTAATAATGATAATGAAAATAGTAATAGTAATAATAATTCTAAAGGTAATAATAATGATGATAATAATAATAGAGATACGAAAAATTATCATCATCATCATCATCACCATCATTATCATCATCATTGCCATCATTATTATTTTCTTATCGTTGTTATTATTGTCATTAGCATATACCACAATGGTCAACAATATCATCCTTTTGTACCTAATTATCTTCCTTAATTTATTATTTTCTTTGTATTTAGTATCACCAAAGTTCAAGTCTAATTATTTCGTTAACCAATACTGCAATGTAATGAAAAATATCTTGAGAATTATTTCTAATGGCCATAAAACATAGAATATAATAATAATATATAATAATTTTGTTAATGTTGACTTCTCAGTTGCCACAATAAATTGAATATTGCATCATATGGAAAGGATATTTAATTACGCACAAAAGGACAACTGCGATTTAGGAAAGACAGGTAGACGGTTATTGATATATAGAGAGATATGTAAGGGAAGAGAGAGATAGAAGGGTGAGGGGGAGAGAGAAAAAAAAAACAAAGAGAGAAAGAAAAAAAAGAGAGAAAAAGAAAGAGGGAGAGACAGAGAGAGAGAGAGAGAGAGGGGGGGGGAGAGAGAGAGAGAGAGAGAGAGAGAGAGAGAGAGAGAGAGAGAGAGAGAGAGAGAGAGAGAGAGAGAGAGAGAGAGAGAGAGGTGGGGGTTTAACATAAAAAGACGTTCGTATAAACCAGCTTGTTCTTTTTAACTTTTTTTCTAAGGTCTTTCTTCCACTCTTCCATGTTCATTTGCATGTTGCAAACTTGAAGCAAATTAATTAAAAGGAGATTTATATTGCAGAGCCAGGAGGTGTACATATTTACCTTTTGCCCTCTGTGACTCTCTCTCTCTCTCTCGTTCTCTCTCTCTCTATCTATCCATCAAACAATCTATCTATCTATCTATCTACTTCCCTTCTTCTTCTTCGTCTGTCATAGGCCTACTGTTCACACTCTGTTGAAGGATTAGCAACGGATTCTATTGCAATGCCTCTGTTTGTGAAGGCACGGCTATGCTTGAAATCTGACACTCGCAAATGTATTGAATTATGGTACAATTCCTTCTCGCAAAGTATGCCTGATATACCATATCACTTTGAGAAGGAGAAGAGGGAGAAGAAGGAGGAGGAGAAGGAGGAGGAGAAAAAGAAATAGGAAGAAGGAGAAGGAAGAAGAAGAAGAAAAAGAAGGAGGAGGAGGAGGAGGAGGAGGAGGGGGAAGAGGTGAAGGAGAAAGAGGAAGAGATGCAAGAGGAGGAAAATAGTGGAAGTGAAAAAGAAGA